ATATGAAAATTTATATAAAATTATTTATAAATGTCATAATTAATTAGATTTAAAACACAAATTAAAAGATGTTTTCGTTAGATTAGGTGCACTTAATAATTTTACTTACTAATTTTTGTTATATTTATTTCTTATCAAACACAATAAAATTAATAATCTAATAAAATTTTATTATAAAATTTAATAATTTTTTGTATAATAATTTTTTAACAACTTTTTTTTAAAAAAAATAATCTCTAATCAATACAACCCAATGTTTTTGAACCCGGCCCGGTGGTTGGCCCGTTTTGACCATCAGGTTCGGGTCAATTGATTGAACCGGTTTAATTGATTGAATCGGTTCACTTGACCGGTTGAACCGATTAACTAAAAATTTTTTTTTGACATTTTTATTGAATTTTATTGTTGTAGGTTAGTTTTACTCTATTTTTAAGAAATAATCATCATAAGATTCTGATTTCCGTTGCTGCTTCTGTTCGGTGGAGCAGAGAGAAGAAGGGCACCGACAGAGGAGATGAGGAAGAGAAGGAGGGCAGCGATGGAGGAGATGGTATGTTTTGCAACAGTGTGACTTTTGTTTTGCTTTGCTTTTTCAGTCCAGTGAGGAAGGAGGAGGTGATCGGCAGTCAACAGAGGAGATGAGGAGGAGGTGCTCAGCAGAGGAGAGAAACCACTTTCCCGAAGACAATCTGTTCTATTTTGAGCCAATCAGATGAGGTAGATGGTGAAGATCGACGGAAGAGAAGAAGTGCAGTGACAGAGGAGAAGATCGGCGGACGATCGGTGGAAGAGAAATCAGCGGACGATCGACGAAGAGAAGATCGATGGAGTGGCGAACGATCGGCGGAAGACCCTTATGCAGTTCTGTTGGTACTTGGTTCCTCCTGAATCTGGGTTTTGCAATTTGTTTCCAGTTTCCACTGTCCCGAGCTGCTGATGATTTTAGATTCTTAGGGTTTTTAGTTTTTAGTTTTTACTTAGTTAACTAGTTTAATTGATTTTTAATTTAGGTTTTAAACTTTAATTTAAGTCAAAAGACAAAAACTTAAAATTAAAAAGATGGTGAAAAACTGAAAATTTCAGCCCGGGCGAGCATGGCGGGTCGCACGGGTTCA